ACTTGCATTATCTTTGTGTAATATTAAAATTAGTTTGATGATCTGAATATTTTAAGTGTGACAAATATGCAAAAAATGTAAAACACAGGAAGGGAGCAAAAACCTTTTCACAGCATTGTACATACTAGTGTTGTCACGGTACCAAAATTTCAGTATTCGGTACCAATACCCGTGAAAATCCACGGTTCTCGGTACCAATTTCGGTACCAAAGCAAAACACAAAAACACGCTAATTTAAAAATTTGACTATACTTCATTTAATCCAAACTGTGTACATATTTAATTTTAAAGGGCTTTTAAAACCTTCTAGAGTTATTCAGACAAGAATAACAACTAACTCAGTTAGCTAAAAAATAAAAAAATGCCCAGAACTGCTTTTCTGACTGATATGACACAATGTTAACCATTTGTACATTCTCTAACACGCATATTTTAGATTCACAATTCATTTAAAAGCCTCTGGTAAGTAAAAATAGTAAATATCATCATGTCCTCCTGTTTTTTTAACCCTAATAAAAGTTATAGGAGCATTAAATAGTTCATAAAGAAACTTAATTCTAATGTTCATTATATTAGCGTTAGCCGCACTTATGCTAACGATTAACTACTCTAATAACAGCGATGTTCATTTCAATCCGACATTCAAATTAAAATATTGAATAATATTCATAACAGAAGCGGTGTTTCCCACAGACTTGAACTCTATTTGCAAATTCCTGGTACCGTAACGTTTTCATTTTTTTAGTACCGACTTGGTACCGAAATACCGGGTCTTTTGACAACACTAGTACATACATACTCTCTTTCTCACACACACATACACGCACATATATATATATATATATATATATTTTTTATTATTTTTTTTTTATTTAACTGAAGGCGAAGTCACTAGCACAATGCTAGTATTCCTCTATCCTGTTTTCTGTTTTGTAGCTGAACAGTCTTGCCAAAATCTAGGTTTCATCTGTAGACTGTATGTCCCAGCATCTGGCCCCTCCTCTAATCCCACTTATCACCACAACACACACACACACTTTAATTCCTTTGTCGCCACGCTGTTTGTTGTTCCAGGGGAAGTATGTCAGTGGGACATATTTAGCCCCTATGACCAGGATTAAAACGTTATTGCAAGGGCAGCCCCTGATTGGCTATTGCGGCTGCCTTTTGCTGTCCGTCAATGCCAGTTCCCTCCTTTATCCACAGAGCTGCTTCTCTTCGTCTCCATCTGCCAGACACATACAAAGCTTAATCATTCATCTTTCCATCCATCGTTTTTGTTTTTGCCTCCGCCATTTGCACACATTAAATCCTCTTGCAAGCAATGCAGCAACCACACGTCTCTGTGCACGCTCAGGATGAGTGGACATATATGGATGAGAGCGGAGAATGTAAAAGGCCGCCTCCATGTTGTATTTCCTCTCTCTCTCTCTTCCTCCTTCACTTCCAAGCATGCAACTGCGCCCCCTTGAGTCAATGCGGAGTCACTTCACCCTGTTTGTTGTTTCTGCAAAGGTCGAGCACTGTTATTGGACGCAGTTTTGCCACACAATCTTCACTTCCCCTCCCATGTCTTACAAAGGACATGTTCAAACACTGATTTTTTCTTTTTTTTTTCTTTTAGGGCTAGGGAAACTTTACCCAAACTAACGTGTTGAAGCACAAACCGATCTTTAGTAGTTTATCTATTAACTTTAAGTAACAAGTTATTTTATATATAGTTTTTCTGTTGATGTCTGCACAAATAATATTAGCTTTCAGGGCCAACCATGGCCTCATATTTGTTCTATGAATCATAGTTACTCTTTGAAAGGAGTCATATCCTGTTTACAATACTAGCTGTAATGACCCAGGTTTTGTAATATGTGCTCTGTAATAGGGCTGTCAAAAAAAATTCGCATTTCGAATATTCGTCAAATTCAAGATAAAAATCCACATTCGAATGCAAAAACGTTGCATTTGAATTTTAGGTGTGCATCAGGCAGCCTTATCAGTGGCACACAAGATGCGATGACCATGTAAGTGTCAATGCATTTTAATGCTTTTTTAGCCTATCCAGTTGAACCCACTAGATGCGGCGCTGCTACGTTGTTCATTCAAAATATTGCAGAAAAAGAGAACAATCAATGCGGAGATGATGTTGTTTACATCAAAACCGAAACCAAGCCGTTCACACAGAACGCATATTTATCACATTTTCTAGAGGGACATCTATCACCATTGCACTCGCGTCTCACACAAGAGAGCCGCATGTTTAGAAAGCTATGTAAAATTAATGCAAGTTCAACTTTTTAAAAAACATGTCTCAAGACTTTATGGCGGTTTTCCCCATCCCACTGCATCTCAAGTTTTTAAATGAAGAAAGTACTATTTGTGATTGGTTTTCGGTCCTTTGTATTAAACTATACATGCATGATGCTGTTTTGTTTCTAATTGTTTAAGCAACTTTAGTAATTATATAAGGTTTATAAACATTATTTTAAACATTATGCACTTTTTTCAAAGATAGTCGTGTTATTTTATTATGCTTTGAAGAAACGTGCATAATATTTTGCTCGATGCGCCCTCTTGTGGCCTCAGGAGAGAAACCAAAAACTTTTTTCCCCCTAACTGAAATTATGCCTTTTAAATTGGAAAACCAAAAACTTTTTTCCCCCTAACTGAAATTATGCCTTTTAAATTGGAATATAATTAGAATATTGATAATATTTAAGTAAAAAATTCGAATTTAGTTTTTCAGCCATTTTGACAGCCCTACCCTACATGTAGTGTCTATGAATGTGCCCCCGTCACGTTTTTATAGCTCTGTTTGTGTTATATCTTGAGTCTGGTGTAAAGTTGATTGTCAAACACTTAACAGTGATATTTCTCTCTTTCTCTCTGTGTTTTTGCAGGCCTTGTGGATGCACTTAGATGTGTGCAATGAGTGCTGTGGCTGACATGCCTCAGTGTTTTGGATTGCTGTGCTCTGGACTCAGTAGGACAAGAGACTCCCAGCACAGAACGTCATGAGCGTAGTCATCCCAGTAGGGGTGGGCACGGCCAACACCTCATACCTGGACATGGCTGCAGGCTCAGAGTGAGTTTCTCCGTTTCTGTCGTTGTCCTTTCATATTGACTCATCACTACCTTTTGTTTCATTTTGTTCATTTTCTGGTTGCATCAGCAGAGAGAAACGCATCTGTAGTCAGATTTTTCCACCAACCGCTTCCGTTCTCATCTATCTGCTTCTTTCTCATCAGAAACATGCTCTGCTGCTGTTGCTTCCACAGAAAAAAAAAAGATTTTTCTATAGAACATAAGTTATGTAGCTTTTCCAAACAATGGAAGTGAATGAGGACTGGAGCTGTCAAGCTCAAAAATTGACAGTAAAACACAATAAAAGTGATCGGTATGACTTGTGCACCAGCAAGTCTTCTGAAAGCATGTATTGCTTTGTGTGAGGAATTGAAAATTTAAAGAGTTATAAGTTTTGTATGCATTTTGTAAGGGGAAAAAAATTACACGTATATAGAGAGATAGATAGATACATATTTACATTTACATTTAGTCATTTAGCATATGCTTTTATCCAAAGCGACTTACAAAAGAGGACAAGAGAAGCAATCAAAACCAACAAAAGAGCAATAATGTAAGTGTTGTGACAAGTCTCAGTTAGCCTAAAGCAGTACACATAGCAAGTTTTTTTTTTATATATAATAAATAAAAAGAAAGCAATTAGATAGAATAGAAAAAGAATAGGGAACGCTAATGTTAGAGGGTCTTTTTGTAATAAAATAAAACCATTCAAAAGAATAGAGACTGCTAATGTTGGAGGCTCTTTTTTTCTTTTTAAAGAAAACAAGTAGTTCGAATAGAATTAGAATAGAGAATGAAAGTGTTAATGGGTCAAGTGTTTTTTGTTTTCTTTTTTGTTTTTAAATAAAAAAAGAAAAGTAGATTAAATAGAATTAGAATAGAGAGTGCTAGAGTTAGTTTCAAATGAAGATGGAAACACATCTCGTGTTTTTGTGTTTGTGTGTGTGTGTGTGTGTGTGTGTGTGTGATCTGGACGTTAACAGTAAACAGCTGCAAAGGTATTTCCAACTTTTTTTTTACCCCTAAGCAAAGAACAAAAAGAACTTCCCCTTGAGCTATTTATTTAAAAAAAAAAAAAAAGATTGAGCCAATGACACCATTTAAATTTATCCTGTCTACTGTCCCCATTAGAAAATGCTTAATAGCATTCAGAATAAATCTTTTTGTTTACAGTTCTGTATTTGTAGCATCAGTAAGCATGTCTTGCACAGTACTATTCATAAAATTTCTCCTACATCCTATTAGTTTCAGCGCAGAAAGCGCAGCTGTTAAAGGTCTAATAGATGGGACATCACGTGCCGCACAGCAGACCCCTCCCCTCTGCAGCATGCACTTGAATGAAAGCAGTGTGTTTCTCTTTAAATGTGGAGCTCTGTCCCATTGCCTCGTCACTTTGTGTTGCCATGGTGCTCTCCCTTGCACTGGGCAGGGTCTGTTGTCATGGCGACCGGCTGAGTGACAGCTGGGCCCTGGAGCTTAAGCCTGCTTAAGAGGCTGTGCTGCCGCGCAGCTTTACGCCCGTCTGGGTGTTAGTGTCTTTCGGGTGTCCTTACGCCTGTCTGTTACGCCAGATTTATTCCACAAGCTTTAGGAAAGATCTCCACCTGCTGCTAAACGAGAAACGCCACGTACAGAAAATAAATGTTACGTTGTTTATCTCTGGGTGGTCTACGCATCGCCAGATCTCATCCGAGCTTCTCCTACGTGGATTTTTGCTTGTTCCTGACATTACTCCTCAGTCAGGGTCAGCCCACCCTAGGCCTGCGGCAGAGGTTGCCATGGTTACCAGGCATTGTGCATCACCGTGATGTCAACAGACAGTCCGTTAAAATGCCATTGGACCCGAAACGGCTGCTGTATTCCCTCTAAACCTCATCTAGCCCTAGATGGACACTGCTTTGTGCTTTGAGTGATTTCATGTCTATGCATGTAATGTAACTCTTTCTGTGCCCTATCTGTCGCCCCACTCTCTCTCAACAGGTGTGTATGTGTGTGAATTGTCTGTTCTATATTAAGCTGTCTCTGGAGTGGTGGGCTATGATTAGCACATGCATTCCCGTTACATTTAATTGGAGCTTCAATTACATCACCACACATGCTGTCCTCTGTCTCTTCCATCTCTCATGTGTTTTCTCTCTGTGATCAGTTTTTTTTTTTTTTGGTGTGCTGCGATGTTATTTCCATATTAAGGTTGTTATTTAATTATGGCATTTAACCGCAAAACATTCATTCCGATTAATAATTCCAATTCCACAATTCCAGTTATTTCACAATTCTGACGCACCACACTCCTCAACTCCTGACCACGCAGTAATTGGTCCTGTTTATATCTTTTTATTTTTTCTATATAAACAAAAGCATATATTGAAATTAAACATGTTATATTCTATGTAAAAATGTATGAAATATATAAATAATACATAATATATCATATATGGTTAATATGTATCTGTTTTTAACTACACAATGTCAACTGTCGGCAACTACATTGTTTTAAATTTTACAAGCCTTAAGGTCCTTGCACACTGAGCCCGAAATTCTCGCCCGAATTTTTTGCACATCAAAAAATAAATACGACCTCACGTTTACACACTGCCTCCGAAACCTTCGTCTGTCATAAACAAATTCAGATTGGGTTAAATTTTTTGCTTTTTTCGCATCCGTAGCAAGCATTTTGAGAGGTGTTTTGACAATTCAGAGCCACCGTACAAGCAAACAGTATCGCTAGCAAAGCATCAGACTGACATCCTGAAGTAAACTTTGAATAGCTCGGGATAAGGAGGTGGAACTCTCCTTCCTCTCTATTTATTATAATAGTAAGTACATGTAACGTGTAACAAGGACACCTTAAAATAAAGTATTTCCTTTCGGACTTGGTGTTCAAGGACCTTTACACTGTGTCCTAACGAGCCTCAACAATGATATATGACAAGCATTTTTGTACAATATTAATTTGGGTTTAAATATATTGTTTGCGTGACTTAATGAATAATGAAAGCGACAATGGATAATTTCCCTCAGATCTTGAAAATTAACTAAAGGAAAAAGAACTGGTCAAACTGTGAACTTTTTGTTGAGTGTATTCCAAGACAAAGATTCTATCAGTCATTGAGTATGTATTTTGAATAATGTTAAAATTGTTTAATTTCTATTTATTAGAATATATAACCAACTGTTTCAATGCAAGTATGAGACAGTAGTGAGCTTGCAGAGAGAGGCCTCGCTTGCTCTTCCAATTGGCTGTGATTTGTGATTGATTTTGTCGTGTCTTGTAGAATTGTCATGTCTAGTGTGTGGACAAAAAATCTTATCGCGTTGGGACTGGTTCGGACCAGGTGTTAAAGGTAAAGTGTGTAATTTGTGCACTGATTCGTCACCAAACAATATTTTGAGAAGACTGACTTTTAGCTGTCAATGTATTTTGAAATTTCAGAGGAGAAAGTTATTACACAGGACAGTAACAGTTTGAGGTTCATTTCAAATTACACACGGAGTAATGCAAATGTTTGCGAACCATTAACAAAACAAAATGTCATAATTATTTTATGTGATCAAAATAATGTTGCGTTTTAATGCTGCATTTATGGGTAATCTTTTTTTTCTTTTTTCTTTTTTTTTTTCAATCGGTCAAACCCCTCTCTGCATTTGCACCTACTCAAACACCTTCTCTCTGTCTCCTTTTGACTCGCTGCCTATTTAAAGTCCTCCTCCTAACCTTGCTGAGAGAGGCAACTGTTTTTTCGTAAAGACACTGTAGTTTGTCACTGATGCTCAGGAAATCCCCCGGCTTGTCACCTGTCCTGCATTGATAATCTTATCGCTAAAACCACACCGCAACATAAAAGCATCAATAAAACCTGCTAATCATTTATCGCCTGCCTGGAAGGGCCATTTCTTCATAAGAGCTCTTGTTCTCATTTGACTTGTGTGTGTCTCAAGGGTCCGCCCCTCAGCAGTTCACACACTTTCACTTTGACAGTTGGGCTGCAAAGCGCCAACTGAATCAGGAAGTGTGAACGTGAGGTAGGGACAGACAGCACGAGGTGAATGTGACGAGAAGGCCAGCAGGTACAGATTTTCTCTTCGCTTGCAGTAAGACATGATTAAGAGGAAAGTGGGAATACAGCAAAAACAGGGGGAAAAAAACAAATACAGAGCGGTTTGTCATGCTGCTTGTGCTGTTTACGCTGCAGACACTTTGATTTATGGTAGGTTTAGAACCATTTTTATAGATAATACAGTTTTTTTTTTTAAGGACTACGGTATATTTTGAAGTATATATGTGCTTGTTTTTGTGTCGTCTCACGTGTTGAAAACAGCACTTGCTTTCTTCGTGTGCACGAGTGTAGTAGTAATATGCAAATTACCCTGTAACTGTTGTTTATGTGAGTGCATTGGTGTTAGGTTAAGCGTGTAATCTGTTTCTGTACTATTATCAGAGTGGCTGCGTGACCTTGACACAGTTTTTGTGTGCAAATAATTACTGTTATGTTTATATATACGATTATAAATCTGCCTGGAATGGTCCATTTTACTCCGTGTCCTTTCTGCCAACGAAACTTGGCATTAAGTGCTCTTTTGCAGCCAATTTTATACGCAAAAAAACTTCTGCCATTTCTGGTTTTACTCTAAATCTTCTTCCATTCATTTCCTTCGCTTCTAATAACACGTGGAAGCGAGGGCTCTTTCGTTGGGCATGTTTGTGTGGTCCAGATAGGGATTGGGGTTTGTGACAGACTACATTGTGAGATTACAGAGAAGTGTGATCCTGTTATTTCACTTTGTACAAGCCTTGTCCCGCCAGCTGAGGGCATGACAGGACACACACACACACGTGTGTACAGATAGCAAGTCACTACTAAGGTCTGTCGTGTTCTGTGTCATGCTAAAATATGTAATGACTGGTGCAAACACAACCGTTGATTCGTTGGTGAATAAACTAAACTTCTCCTTGCAACCCAGCAAGCTTTGTTAATCTTCGATCTTCCTTTCCCTATTGTTTCACTGCTGTCAAACCTGTTTCTTTTTTTTTTGTATGCTTAAAAAACACGCCTTGTCAGACTTGTTCCTCATTCTGGCCTCTCTCTCTCTCTTTTTTTTTCCCTGTGTGTTTGTGTGTATGGAGTAGACCAGAATCTGTGGAGGCGAGCTCTGTGGTAGTTGAGAAGTCCAGCTACCCTCACCAGATTTACAGCAGCGGCTCCCACGGCTACTTCGGTCTGCCTTACGCCGTGAGTATCGTCCCCCAGCAAAACACGCCACACTCCTTCCTGCAATTACATTGTTGACCTGCTTATCTGCATTCTGTGTTATCTGATCATGCTTTCGCTTCACGACTTTCTAATGGTTCCTCCTCCAGGACCACAATTATGGGGCGCGACCCCCACCCACCCCGCCGGCGTCCCCGCCTCCCTCGGTGCTGATCCGGCCGGACGAGGGTCTGTTTGTGTCCGGGGGCCGGCCAGGCGAGAACTTGTTCGTGCCGGGCGGGCAGGACGAGGCGTCGCGTGGTACCACGCTCAGCACCTCGGAAGACGGCAGCTACGGTGCTGACATCACACGCTGCATTTGCGGCTTCACCCATGACGATGGCTACATGATCTGCTGCGACAACTGCAGGTGGGATCACACACTTCGACATGTTCAAACTATGTCTACATGTGTAATTACAGCATTCATGGCTGTGCTTCAAAACCTATCTGTCATAAGCTGTTTAAAATGCTTTATATATCTGGAGCTTATTAGTTCTTGAGATGAGGCCTGGTTTAAAGGGATAGTTCAACCAAAAATGAAAATTCTATCATTAATTGCTCACCCTCGTGTCGTTCCAAACCCGTAAGACCTTCGTTCATCTTCGGAACACAAATTAAGATATTTTTGTTGAAATCCGAGAGCTTTCTGACCTGCATAGACAGCAACACAACTGCAATGTACTTTTTTTAAAGAAAACAAAAATAACAATTTATTTACCGTCTTTCGCCATTTTGGAGAGTACCACGATGCATGCACGTGCTTTCCCCAGAATGTAATCAATGTAATCAGCGTTGTTTACGTTCAGGAGAAAGTGCGCACATGCTGTACGTAAACAAAGCTGATTACTTTCTGTGCAGGGTCAGAGAGCTCTCAGATTTCATCAAAAATATCTTAATTTGTGTTCTGAAGATGAACAAAGGTCTTACGGTTTTGGAACGACATGGAGGTTATTGGAATTATTGACAGAATTTTCATTTTTGGGTGAACTAACCCTTTAAAGAACCATGTGTAGTACAACCGGTGGGTCCTAGACAGAGTCAGACATTAAGATGGCAAAGATGCCACTAAGAGTGACAAAGGTGTCACAGATGTGTGTAATTTAGTGTTTTAATGTAATATTTGATATAAAAAAATATATTTTCTAGGTATTAGAGATAGTGGTTGACCGATATATATCGCCAAGGCCGATATTTGGCATTTTTCAAATATCGGCATCAGCCAATAAGTTTTTCTGTTTGGCCGATGCGTTTCGACTTTTATTTTGACGGCGCTGAGAACGGCAGCACCTGAACACACAGTGCTCACATTCTCCCTCTTGTTCGCTATCGTCGTTAACAGTTCTGTCCACGGACAGAAGTCTATCTAATAATCAGGTAGAACTGTTAAACAAAGGAATTAAAATGTATACAAAAAAGTATTATAACGATTGCTTTTATATTGTTAGTAATAGAAAGGCAAACATTATAATACTTTCTCGTTTGCCGTCAGCATTCAGCAAATACGCATTTACATAATTTAAACAAATCTTTGAATGACTAATGAACATCTAATTTCAAAAGGCTTGCAAACTTAGTCGAATCCAGCTGTGAGATCTTGTGAAGTGTGCATTTGTATCCTGCATGATCGCGTGTACTCTGCATGATGGTCGGTCCGTGCAAATTAAATACAGACATTTTCACTGTGTGCTGTATGTAAAATGAGTGTTACCTGGGCTTTATTTGAAAAAATGTGATTCCCAATGCACACAAACTTCCCAGAATACTGAGTGCCCTTTTACAATGTTTGCTTCCTTTTTAAGTATATTTTTATTAAATATTTGTTTATTTGTGAAAAATACTTTGTCATTTAAAGTATTAGCATGTTTATTTTACACATTTATTTTTTAATCCATTTTCAAATGATTTCAAATTTCTTAAATATTTATCGGCTTTATATCGGCCATCGGCCACCCTGCTTTCCAAGATATCGGCATCGGCTGTCAAAAAAACAGTATCGATCGACCACTAATTAGAGACCTGTATCTGTCAAAAATTGTCTAAAAGGGCATAGATGCCCCAGATATGCTCTCAGATGTAGGGTAAAAATGTCTGTGCTATACTTATATGGCGCAAGGACACTTTAAATTCAACAAAAGTGATAAAGATATTTATAATGCTACACAACATTTCTAATTTCAAGTAAATGCTATTATTTCTATTTATCTAACAGTCTTTGAAAAAATGTATCACTGTTTTGACCAAAATATTAAGAAATATTTCTTAAGCACCAAATCAGCATTAGAATGATTTCTGAAGAATAGTAATGAGTACGGATGCTGAAAACTTAGCTTTGGATTACAGGAATAAATTACATTTTAAAATGTATTAAGAGAGAAAACAGTTCTTTTAAATTATAATAAAATGTGAAAAATGTAAAATTTGTACTGTATTCTTGATAAAGACAAATATTAAAAAACATTAAAAAATGTATTAAAAATCTTATCAGTCCCAAACTTTTGAACAGTAGTTTATGTACTATTAAAATATTAATTTTTGCAAAATATTATGTTTTATATTTTGGACAATTCTTTTCTTGATAGTTCAGAGCTATGTAATCTAACATAATGACCAGCCCTTATTTTAAATGCATTTAAAAAAAAAAAAAGTTTTACATTTTGTTCATTATTTCCAGCTACTTTGTATATTGATGTTGATTTTATTTTATGGCTAATAAAAATTGTCAATGTAATTGGATGTATTTTTACAAAGACAAAAAATTCAAGCTCAAGTATTTTTTTAAGAACAATGTTTATTTTGGTTGTAGCTTTATCTGTTAAAATACTACAGATAATTTTTTTTTCCAGCATTACCCGTTTTTTGTTCTCTAAACAGTGGCATTAATGTTTGCTGGGATAGGATCCCATTCTTTGTTTATGAGATTAGCACTGCCGACAAGACATGTAACAGTGCTGGGAATTCAGTGTGTAGATGAAAACTTACAGTTGATTGAATGTTTAAATAGTAGGATCTGTCAGTCCCTTTGTTCACAGTCAAATAATACAGAAGAATCAAAATAATTGAAGCCATTTCTCCTCATTCATAACTCTTTGTGTATTAGTGTGTGGCAGCACATAGACTGCATGGGGATCGACCGGCAGCACATTCCCGAGACCTACCTGTGTGAACGCTGTCAGCCACGCACCCTGGACCGAGAGCACGCCATCCTGCTGCAAACCAGGAAGAGAGAGAACATGTCTGGTGAGTTTTTTTTTTTTTTCATGCATACACACAAACAAACACACCTATAGACATGGTCAACCTCTCCCAAAGCAGCAATGCCACTGCTGCTTTTTCCCACAGTTCAGCTGCAGATGAGCATCTTTAGAGTCTGAAGACTTTACACAATACAGGATCATGAGCTTTTGTATAATGTGAAATGTATTCCTGACCTTCCTGTAATCTATGCTGGCAATTCTATAAGAAGCTCTGCTTGTAGTGATGTCAATAATTGCTAGAGATTTCTTAAGGTTGGAAATATCTGAGCTCTCGGCCTCTTGGTACATCTTAAGGCCTTTCCACACTGAACGCGAAAAAGCAAAACGAATATCGGACGCGATGACGCACTGGAATAAAACAACAGATTTCTATGGATGCTTCCACATAGACCACGAACATTCGGGCACCGAAAATGCAAATGTTTTTTTTTCGAACCAGTCCGACGAATCTTTTCAGTTTCGCAAAGTGAAAACACGGGCCGTCCAATAAGATTTGAGCTAGGATCACTTGACCGGAGCAGCTGCTGTTGCACAAAAAAGCAAGAGTGGTGGCGCTGTTTCGAAAACCAGTGCAAACAAACACAGAAGAAGAGTATCCCGGATAAGAGAAGAGAGTGGAAGCTCAGTTCTTGTTGTCGTTGGTATTTGAGAACAGATTTATTCTCACATGTTCTTTATACAGAATAACATTTCTAATTATTCTCCACTGAATCACGCGATCTGGAGAGCACCGTCCGTTTTCTTCCGCGTGCGCGAGTGTTATGAGTCAAAATGCGTTCACTCTTTTTCTACACATGAAATATGAAAGCAAGTAGACATACACATGAAATATGAAATCAAATAGACATGATTATGACGATATATTTTCTGTATGTGTTTTGTATGCATCTCACGATATTTTAATAGCAATGTTTATGACAAATATTAGCAGTGTAGCATTATTAAACATACAAAGAGTGCATGTGTCTGCTTATTAATCAAAATCAACTATAGATCACAACTGGAAGTTATTACAAGCACTCAATGGTAGTTTAAAGTGGGTAAGCAAATACTTTAATAATCACCTAGCGTGCAGGCGTGAATTAGCAGAAGGTGAACAATCGTTTTGCATTCGGTGTGAAAGCACCATTCGTCGGCAATTCGCTTTGCTTTTTCGCATCGCGCTCAGTGTGGAAAGGCCTTTAGATGCTTTACAACTGCAGCTTGAGTCAATGTCAAAGTGCACTTTGAGGACAATAGTGTCTGTTCAAACTACAGTTACTTTATATTTATGGTTAAGGGGTAAATATCAATTGTATTATGATGGTTAAGGTGGTAAATTCAGTGTAAAAGCTCATGTAAATGTCTATTGTTGCAGACGGGGACACCAGTGCTACAGAAAGCGGGGATGAGGTTCCACTAGAGTTGTACACAGCGTTTCAGCACACCCCCACCAGCATCACACTCACAACAGCACGTCTCGGCAACAAACAGGCTGATAAGAAACGAAAGAAGAGTGGAGAAAAGGAGCCCCCAGCTACAGCCAGGGCCAAGAAGGTCTGAATCACACAACAAACACTTCTAGTAAATGTAAACGGGACTTCAAAAATGAAAAAATGAATGACTTAAAAAAAAAAAAATAATAATAATAAATAAAAGTTTTTCTCTCAGAAGATTTTGTGTAGAAAGTCCAAAGTAACAGTATTTATTTGAAGCAGAAAACTTTTGTTGCATTAGAAATGTCTTTACTGTCACTTTTGATCAATTTAATGCAGTCATGTGTTTTGTTTTGCTTTTTGTTGTCTATTTGAATATTGTTTATAAATGTCATGGAACCAAAATCAGTTATTTCACCTGCTTTGAAACATACAAGTCTGATTTCTGCTTGTTTTTGTCTTTCAGTCATTCCGTGAAGGCTCTAGAAAATCATCTAGAGTAAAGGTGGGGTACTCTGGAGCTATCCAAATTTACCCCCCCGAATAACTATTCGTATGTGTGTTACGCATGCTTACGCTGCTTGTTTTCCATCTTCTATCCTCAGGGCTCAGCTCCCGAGTGTGAGCCGACAGATCCTCCCTCTCTTTGGGAGAATAAGATGAAGTCGTGGATGGAGCGCTATGAGGAAGCCAGCAGTAACCAGTACAGTGAAGAAGTACGGATACTGCTAAGAGTAAAAGAAGCCAGAGATGGCAAAACGCTGGCCTACAATACACACACTGCAGCCTTCAAACCACCCGTAGAGGTATAATACTCATATTCTAATTCCACCAGAATATTGGTCTGCATTTCTGGTGCGCTGTTTGTGGCTTTGTACGTCATGCTCATTGTGACTTTTTCCTCCCAGAGTCACGTACAGAAGAACAAGCGCATTCTTAAGGCTGTTCGGGACTTGGCTGCCGATTCGCTCATAATCGAGTACAGGGGGAAGGTCATGCTACGACAGCAATTTGAAGCCAATGGTTACTTCTTTAAGAGGTACTTGAAAAGACACTTTGTGCTTTTGAGCATTAATTTTGGTTCCCCGTTTTTGTTTATAACGTTTTTATTCGCAGGCCATACCCTTTTGTATTGTTCTACTCTAAGTTTGACGGTTTGGAAATGTGTGTGGACGCACGGAGCTTCGGAAACGAGGCCCGATTCATTCGTCGCTCCTGCACTCCCAACGCTGAGGTGCGGCACGTAATCGAGGACGGCATGCTGCATTTATACATTTACTCTCTGAGGTCCATCTCCAAGGGGAGTGAGATCACCATTGGCTTTGATTATGACTACGGCAGCTGGTAAGAACACGCACTAGGGCTGAGTATCACTGATGTAATGACATCTGAAATGTTTATTCTAGTGCTGTCAAACGATTCATCGCGATTAATCCCATCCAAAATAAACGTTTTTGTTTACAGAATATGTGTGTGCTGTGTATATTTATTATGTATATATAAATACACACACATGCAGGTATATATTTTGAAAATATTTACATGTATATATTTATATTCATATAATTTATATTATATATAAATATTAGTGCTGCCAAACGATTAATCGCGATTAACCGAATCCAAAATAAAACTTTTTCTTTACATAATATATATGTTTGTACTGTGTATATTTATTATGTATGTAAATACAAACATGTGC